CTCGGTTCAAGTGGTTCTCCTGCCTCAGCCTTCCAAGGAGCTAGGATTAAAGGCATGCACCACCATGCCGAGCTAATTACGTATTTTTAGTAGAGACAGGGTTTCTACATGTTGGTTAGGCTGGTCTCAAATTCCCGACCTCAGGTGATCTATCTACCTCAGCCTCTCAAAGTGCTGGGATTACAGGTGTGAGCCACCGTGCCCAGCCAAGTTTAACCAAATATTTAAAGAAAAACTACTCAAACTATCCCAAAAAACTTCCAAACTCATTCTACAAGGCCAGTATTACCCTATCAAAATAAAAAAGAGATCTACAGGCCAATATCTTTCATGAATATTAATACAAGAATCTTCCACAAAATACTAGCAAACTGAATCCAACAACACATTAAAGAGATCATTCATCATGAACAAGAGGGATTCATCCCAGGAATGCACGGATGCTTCAACATATGCAAATCAATAATATATATAAACAGAATGAAGGACAAAAAAATATATGATCACTTCAGTTGATGCTGAAAAGCATTTGATACAATTTAACGTCCCTTCATGACATGATCTTTAAAAAACTGGGTACCGAGGAACATTCTTCAACATAATAAAAGACATATATAACTAATCCATGGCTAGTATACTGAATGGAAAAAAACTTGAAAGGCTTTCCTCTAAGATCAGGAACATGAAAAGAATGTCCACTTTCATAACTGTTATTCAGCATTCAACATAGCAGTGGAAGTCCTAGCTATAGCAGAAAAAAGAAAGAAATAAACAGCATCCAATAAACAGATCCAAGTTGGAAAGGAAGACATCAAATTATCCTTCTTTGCAGATGATATGATCTTTTAGTTGGAAAATCATAAAAACTCCACCTAGAAACTATTAGAACTGATAATTTTAGTAAAGTTGCAGGATACGAAATCAACATAAAAATCCAGCACCATTTCTATATTTCTATTTCTATATTTTCAGATATATTTCTATATATCTGAAAAAGAAATCAAGTAATCCTATTTACAATACCTACAGTGAAAGAACTCTACAGTGAAAGCTACAAAACCCTGATGCAAGATATTGATGAGGACACAAAAATATGGAAAGATAGTCCATGCACATGGATTTGAAGAATAATTATTAGTAAAATGTCCATACTACACAAATTCATCTACAGATTAAATGCAATCCCTATCAAAATACCAGAGACATTCCTCACAGGAATAGAAAAATAATCCTAAAATTTATAAGGAACCAGAAAAGACCCAGAATAGCCAAAGCCATCCTGAGCAAAAAGAATAAAACTGTAGGAATCATATTACCTAAGTTCAAATTACAATACAGAGCGAAAGTAACCAAAAACAGCATGGTACTGGGATGAAAACATACACACAGACCATTGGAACAGAATAGGGAACCCAGAAATAAATCCATACATCTACAGTCAACTCATTTTCAACAAAGATATTACAAATATACATTGGGGAAGGGACAGTCTCTTCAATAAATAGTGCTGAGAAAATTGGATATCCACATGCAGAAGACACTAGATCCCTATCTCCTGCCATATGCAAAAATCAAAGCAAAATGGAACAAAGACAAATCTAAGACCTAAAACAATGAAACTACTAAAACAAAACACTGGCAAAAGTCTCTAGGACATTGGGGGCAAAGATTTATCGAGTAATATCCCACAAACACAGGCAATGAAACTAAAAATGGACTAATAGAATCATATCAAGTTAAAAAGCTTGGGCACAGCAAAGGAAACAATCAACAAAGTGAAGAGACAGAATGGGAGAAAATATTTGCAAACTACCCATCTGACAAGGGATTGATAACCACAGAATACATAAGAAGCTCAAACAACTCTATAGGAAAAAAAATACCATAATCCAATTAAAAATGGACAAAAGATCTGACTAGACATTTCTCAAAAGAACACATACAAATGGCAAACAGGCATATGAAAAAGTGCTCAACATCACTGATCATTGGAAAAATGGAAATCAAAATTACATGGTATCATCTCACCCCAGTTAAAATGACTTTTATCCCAAAGCAGGCAATAACAAATGCTGGTGAGGATATGGAGAAAGAGGAACCCTCATACTCTGTGGGAATGTAAATTAGTACAGACACTACTGAGAACACTATGGGGAGGTTCCTCAAAAAACTAAAAACACAACTAGTGTATGATTCAGCAATCCTTCTGCTGCTTGGTGTATTCCCCCCAAAAAAATAAATTCGTATATCAAAAACATCTCTGCATTTCCATGTTTATTACAGCACTACTCACAATAGCCACATGACCATCAATACAGTCACGGAGTAGTATTTAGCCATAAAAAAGGATGAGATCCTGTAATCTGCAAGAACATGGATGGAACTCAAAGACATTAAGTGATATAAGCCAGACACAGAAAGACAACCTTCACAGATTCTCATTTGTGAGAGCTAAAAATTAAAACAATTTAATTCATGGATATGAGAGTAGAAGGATGGTTACCAGAGGCTGGGAAGGGGAGACGGAAAAAAGGGGATGGTTAATGGGTACAAAAATATAGTTAGATGCAATAAATATAATCTACAATTTGATAGCACAACAGGGTGAATACAGTCAGCAATGCATTGTTGTGCATTTTAAAATAACTGAGGGAGTACAATAGGAATGTTTGCAACAGAACAATAAAAGCTTGAGGTGATAGATACCATATATACCCTGATGTGATTCTTACACATTATATGCCTGTATTGAAACAACCTATGTACCCTGTAAATATTAACATTTATATATACCTTCTATATACCTGTAAAAATTAAAGAGAAAAAAATTTAAAAAGGCAAACTGCCAAGGCTTCAAACCTTGCTACTGCATCTCCTGGACAGGAGATTCTGGGCAAGTTATTTAACATTTCTAAGACTCAACCCTCATCTGTCACTTGGGAATGTCAGAGTGTTGTGAAGGTTAAATGAGATGCTGACTTAGAGGCTTTTACATAGAACCTGCACAAAGTATGTTCTCAATAAATGATGAGTGCATGAATTTATTTTACTAAATTAAGAGAAACATTTTAATGGCAATATCCAATACTAGTGAGTATGAAAATCAAACCCCATTGCTATTGACGGTGTTGATTTGATAATTCTCCTTTTTAAGTTGTAGCCATTGCTATGATTTATTACAGAAAAAGGAATCAAAGTAAAGAGTGCAAAGGGAAATGGGGCAAAGTCAGGAGGAAACTGGTCACAGCTTTCAGGAGCTGTGTCTGTGTAGTCACACAGGCCACACTTCATTCCTCCAGCAACAAATTGCGACAACATACCCACAATTTGTGAAATTTCACAATTGTGAAACCTCGCAATTCTGAGAAATGTTGTCTACCAGATAAAGACCTAGTGCCTAGTTTTTTTATTGGGGGCTGGTGATTTGACAATTCTTCTGCAAAGTAATTCAGAAGTATCTAGAGCTCTCACACTGTGACTCAGTACTACAGAAAACAGGTAAAAGCACTTATGCAGATATGCTGATGTTAATAATAATAAATTAGAATCTAAATGGAAAGTACGACATGAGAGACTGGTAACATAGAACATTACTACAACAACAAAATGTGAAAAAAGCAGAAATATATAAACTTTATAACAACCATGAAATCCAATTTCATAAAATAGACTTACCAGGGATAACGATATGTAACTGTTTTTGCCTTTTCCTTTTTTTAAACTTTATATGACTAAATTTCTTCTGAACTTAAAAATGGTATTTTAATAAAGGATATTTTTTCATGTTGAAATTAAGATGGGTCCTTCTTTTTGCACTCTGCTGCCATCTGGCTGGCTTCTTACTACACACTCTCAAACCCTGGAGGTCACCAAAGCCAGATGCTCGAGGTAGTGCCGTTTTCTCCCAGCCTACACCTAAATGTTCATCCCTAGCTCCTAGATGAAGCATCCCATCCAAGAAGAAACTCAATGAATGCTACTTAAAGAAACAAACACACAAAATGTATAACTTGGCCAACCAAACAGGAATCTATTTGTAAATTAATCCTTGAAAAGTAGCTGAAAAGAATACTTGGAGAAAAGAGGTAAAAAAAATTTTTAAAGGAATGACAAAAATGCAAATTTGAATGTTATTGGTGTTGTCAGAAAGGCCAGCATACACCTTCTCTGAAGGCAAATATGAAAGCAGAGATGCAGGGGGATAGGTGGGCATAAGGGTGTGGAAAGCTGAGCTTCTGGAAACAGGCAGAGGCTAGGCCTCAAACCCTCCTCTGCTGCTCCTTCCTAGCTGGGTGACCTTGGGCAAGTCACCAAATCTCTTTGGGCCTCAGTCTGCTTATCTATATAAAGTGGGGTTAACAAGAAGATTCACCTTATTGGGTTGCTGGGAGGAAGACACTGTACTTAGAAGAGTGCCTGACACCTAGTAAGGACTTATAAACTGTTGCTTTTTCTTCCTGTAGGACTCATACTAAAGAAACTTGAATTCTCTGCATAGGCCTGGGGCGTTTCAGTGGGAGAGGCACACAAATAATCTCTTAAAGGAGATTGCCCCCTCACAATCACGTGAGCTCTTATGCAGAATGCCTGCTTCTATACTGCAATGGATTGACCATTTGTGTCTCCCCAAATTCCTATGCTGAAATCGTACCCTCTAAGGTAATGGTATTAGGAGGTGCAGCCTTTGGGAGGTACTTAAATCATGAAGGTGAAACCTTCATGAATGAGATTAATATCATCTATAATCACCTACAATCTCTCTCTCAGAGAGTTCCCTTACTCCTTCCTCCACGTACATACACAGCAAGAAGGTGCCATCTATGAATCAGGAAACGGCCCTCACCAGACACTGAATCAGCTCATGCATCAATCTTGGACTTCTCAGTCTCCATCAATGTGAGAAGTAGATTTCTATTGTTTGTAAGTCATCTAGTGTATGGAATTCTGTTATAGCAGCCCCAGTGGACTGAGACATATGCCTTAGTTCTCTTGTCACTCACCAGGACCCCGGCGTCTTCTTGCTGGCTCTACCATCCAGGGCGCTTTCCCTTTCTCCAATAAGGTGATCACATTTGGTCTCCGAAAGGAAAGACCTGTATGTTGGACAAACATGGAAACTGACTATAAATGTGCGCACCAGGGAAGTCAGAGCCACGCCCTGCATCAACAAGATAGTGGTTTAGCAGCATGAAAGAGCATACAGGATGTGAAGGGCAGCTGGAGAATGGGGAATGTGATACTGTGATTTGTAATAAGAAATAGGTATTTGGTTTTCATCCCTGTTTCCTGGCACACAGCTCCTCAAACCCTTGGAATCTTCCGCATATGTGTCTTTCATCTGTTAAGAGAAGACTGTGGCTGGGAGCTTCTGGACAGCTTTCAGACAGAGGCTGGTTGCCAATCATGTGATTAGAGGGTTGGAACTTTCAGCCCACTGCCTGACCTCTGAGGAGAGGACAGGGGCTGGAGTTTGAGCCTATCACTAATGGCCAATGATTTAATCAACCATGCCTACCTGAAGCCTCCTTAAAAACTCTGTGCACTGGGTTTGGAGAGCCTCAGGTTTGCTGACCACGTGAAGGGTGGTACAGTAGAGGTGCATGCTCTTGCCCCTCCCCCCATACCTAGCCCTCTGCACTCTTGCATCTGGCTGTTCAACTGTATCCTTTGTAATATATATATATATATATATATATATATATATATATATATTTTTTTTTTTTTTTTTTTTTTGAGACGGAGTTTCACTCATGTTACCCAGGCTGGAGTGCAATGGCGCGATCTCGGCTCACTGCAACCTCCGCCTCCTGGGTTCAGGCAATTCTCCTGCCTCAGCCTCCTGAGTAGCTGGGATTACAGGCACGCGCCACCATGCCCAGCTAATTTTTTTTTGTAGTTTTAGTAGAGACGGGGTTTCACCATGTTGACCAGGATGGTCTCGATCTCTTGACCTCATGATCCACCCGCCTCGGCCTCCCAAAGTGCTGGGATTACAGGCTTGAGCCACCGCGCCCGGCCCCCTTTGTAATATATTTTATACTAAACTGGTAAGCATAAGTAAAGCGACTCTCTGAGTTCTAGCAAATGACTGAACCTGAGGAGAGGGTCATGGGAATCCCCTAATTTAGAGTTGGTCAGTTGGAAGTTCCAGAGGCCTGGACATGCAACTGGCGTCTCAAGTAGGGGACAGTCTCATGGGACTGGGCCCTTACCCTGTGAGATCTGACACTATCTCCAGGTAGACAGTGTCAGAATTGAACTGAATTGGAGGACACCCAGCTGGAGTCTGCTGGAGAACTGTTTGGTGTGTGTGGGAAAGCCCCTAAACATCTGGTGTTAGAGTATGCGGTATTGAGTTTGGTTGTTTAAATCTCACACAGAGATGCAGAAATCTCAGTTACAGCCAGTAGAGTTGTTAAATTTTAACTCTACAAAGCAAACTATTTTCCTGAGAATTGAATCAGAAACTCCTGAGGCTGGTTAGGAAGTTACTGTCTTTCTGCTCCAGACTCCCGCCCTTCTATGATCTCTTCTGTGGTCCCAGGGCTAGGGCTTTGCTATCTTCACTTCTGTGTCACCAGCTGCTTCCTGTCCACATCCACCAGCAGGGGCTTTTTGGTTTCAATGTGTGGAGTTTTTTTAGTTCTGTACTCTCAGAACCAGTTTCATCTGGCCCCTTAGAAGTATAAACATACTAGGCAGCACACTTCCCCCTCCTTTAGAAGTCTGAGTTCCAGATCTGAGGGGACCTTCCTTGAAGTCCTAAAAACCCTAAATTATTCTCTTTGTCCCTCCAACCCCAGGGATGGTGGCAGCTTCCTACAGTTACTATCTCTGTGTTACATCAATGTCCACTATTCACCTTTTAAAAACACCTCTTAAATTAATTCCTTATATTCTATCAAAAGAACTCAAAAGTTACCTACAGAGTTTCCATATGACTCAGCAATTCTACCTCTAGGTATATACCCAAGAAAAATAAACATACATCCACAAAAACAAACTTGTATATGTTCATAGCAGTATATCAAAATAACCAGAGTGAAACCAGCAAGTGAAAACAACCCAACTGCCCATCAATTAACTAATGAATGGATAAACACAATGAGGTCTATCCATACAATACATATTTGTCAATGAAAAGGAATGAAGTATTGACACATACTACAATGTGATAAACCTCAAGAACATTATAAATGAAAGAAGCCACATATTTATGATTTCACATGTATGAAAGGTCCAGAACGGGCAAATCCATAGAGATAGAAAGTGGACTAGTAGTTACCTAATCTGGGGGGATGAGTGGTTGAGGGAGATGAAGAGTGATTACTTACGGGTACTGGGTTTTTGAGTGGGAATAATGAAAATATAATTAATTGTGGTGATGGATGCATAACTCTGAATACACTATTATAAAAACCATGCAATTGTGCACTTTTTATGGGTAAACTGTATATGAATTATATCTCAAAAAAGATCTTTAAAAAATGCAGGCCAGGCACGGTGGCTCACACCTATAATCCCAGCACTTTGGGAGGCTGAGGTGGGTAGATCATGAGGTCAGGAATTCAAGAGCAGTCTGGCCAATATGGTGAAACCCCATCCCTACTAAAAACACAAAAATTAGCTGGGCGTTGTGGCACGTGCCTATAGTCCCAGCTACTCAGAAGGCTGAGGCAGAAAAATAGCTTGAACCCGGGAGGCAGAGGTTGCAGTGAGCTAAGATCATGCCATTGCACTCTAGCCTGGGCAACAGAGCAAGACTCCATCTCAACAAAAAAAAAAAGAAAGAAAGAAACTGTAGTGCCTTCCATTTTCCTGATTAGGCCCAGAGTGGTGCAACTCCCTCGACAGGCTGGTTCTGGACTGTGGGGGAAGAAGAGCCTTACCAAGTGAGACCAGGTTCTGGTAGTTCTCCAACATGACATCTTCATACAAATCCTTCTGAATGGGGCTCAGCCATTCCCACTCCTCCTGGGAGAAGTAGATGGCTAAGTCCCCAAATGTTATAGGTGCCTGAAATGAAAAATCAAACGTCCATTCACCATGGGCTCATGCTTCCATGTGACTGGGGGAAACGGTACACGTATCTTAAACATGGAAGACATGAGGTACAAGAATCATTCAGGAAGCATTCAGGGTTCTGAGGCCAAAAGGGGCATATTAAGAAATTAAATAAAATACGATATAAGACACAGCTGTTACTAAAATTATCTTGCATTAAAAATACGTGGCAACCTAGATCTACCAGGCATTTACAAAGGCAAGGCATTTTTCTAGAGGCACTAGCAACGGAATCACAGTATGTTACAGATGAGGAAATTGAGGCCCAGAGGGATGAGAAAACTTACTGCAGGTCTCACAGCTAGTAAATGGAGAAGCTAGAGTTCAATCCAGACAGTGTGGCTCCAGATTTAATCTCCTAACCACATGCTCTCCAAGGAGCATATGAGTATGTTACACATGACAAAAGGTTCTTTGAGGGTATAATCAAGGTCACTGATCACTTGACCTTAACATAAGAAGACTTTAAAATAGGCAGATTATCTTGGACTTGACCTGGCCAGTTGGTTATTAGTTCTTGCTGTCTTGAAAATGAAAAATAAGGGTCAGGTGGAAAATGTGAGAAGGAAGTGAATCTGCCCACTAACCGGCAAGCTTGGAAGAGGAACTGAGACCCAAATGAGAATACAGCCGGCCAACACCTTGATTTCAGCCCTGTGCCCTCCAAAGCAGATGACTCAGTTAAATCATGTTGTGCCTGGGCGCCAACCCACAAAACTGCATGATAATAAACACGTGCTGTTTTGAGCTGCCAAGCTTGCAGCTAATCTGTTACAGCAGCAAGGAGGAACTAATACACATACCTGAAAGCAAACACGCTTGTTATGGGAAACTGCATTTGAGATGCTGTTGTAAAAAACGCTCAATGATTGACAGTGGTGGAGCATGCTGACCACAGGAGGCTGCCCATACCACCTCACTGCGCCAATGCACTCAATGGAATAACAGGACTCTGTGGTGCCTCTCAGTCTTGGGACCTTAGCTGGAGAGATTTCCTCCATGTAAATATGGGTTTTAAAAAAAGAAACAAAAGCACACAACAAGACTAACTCCAGAGCACATGTCAAATCCTCTCTGCTACTGCAGGCCCCACCTGGGCATTCATTTCCATGCTGAGAAATCACAGTGGCTCTCATCTTCCTCCAGGGAGGACATTTCTCCTGGGGAGGGAATTTCTCCTGGCACTGGCAAAGCCCCTGGAAATGCTGAAATAACAGGCGAGTGGCCAAGTGCACAGTGGGGAATGGAGAGATGCCCGCTGGGCAGTTTCCTGGCTGCTGAACCCTTCTCAGGCTCTTCTCCCCATGGCAATGGGAGAAAACCAAGGACTAGGCATTGGATGGATCTCCAATAGGCAACATGTCTCCATAAAAGGAAAGCGAATGGTCAACATCTCACAAGACACGATGGGATATTCCTGAAGAGAAACTGCCACTTACCTTGGATTTGGATTTCCCCCGTGCAGCAGGCATCCTTTCCTCCCACTTGAGGGTCCACACTCAGAGAGGGGCAGAGAGCTGGTAAGGCAGGGCTGTGGGGAGAAGAAAGGTCATGAGGCCAACTGGACCTTTTGGGCAGTGTCAGAGTCCACAGGCCCCTAACCTGGACGGACACATGGACACATGCACGCATGCACGCATGCACACATCGCTGTCAGAACATCTTGAGCATTCCTGGTCCCCTCACACTCTCACAGTCAGGAAGGGCGCAGCCAACACTTTTATGCCTAAGATCTCAGCAGGTTCTTGATCAGGAGGTAAATGAGGACTGTACAGACCTCTGGCCATCCATTTGACAAGTATTTACTGAGCACCCACTAGGTGTCCAGCTGTCCCAGGTACTGGAGAGAGAACAGTGAGTTAAGGGTGGAAGAGTGCCAGCTCCCAAGCACCTTTCATTCCAGTAGGGGAGGCAAGTCCATATAAAGCACAATGATAGTAATGGTCATTGCTATGAAGAATAAACAGGCCAGGGCAGGGGTTACAGAGTAGTGGGATGGTCAGGGAAGGTGCTTCCGAGGAGGCCACATGAAGCTGAGGTCCAAATGTGAGAGCGTGAGCCATGTGGGTGCTAGGGGAAGAGCATTCCAGGTAGAGGCACTGCAGGTGCCAGGGTCCTGGCTGGGTGCAGGCTTGGTGTGAGGAGAACAAGGTCCATGTACTGAGGCAGAGTGAGTGCAGTGGGGAGGGTGGGCTAAGGCAGGAGGGGCCAGATCATGGAAGGGGTGCTGAGCAGCTTGGATCTGATCCAAGGTGTGACATCACTGGGGGAGGTAGGGGAGCTGAGTAGGGGAGTGACACCATCGACTTAACACTTAACAAAAAAATTGGCTGTGTCTATATAGTGAATAAACTGTGTGTCAGGAGAGAGAACAGGAGTGAGGAGAGGACTCGGTAGGTAGCTTTGCAGAAATCTGGCGGAAACGTTGGTGGCATGACTAGGGTGGGTGGAGAGGAGGAGGGAAGATATGGTCAGATCACCTCCTTGAAGGGGTCCTTCGATCTACCCATATAAAAGAATCTCTGCCCTATACCTATGCTGTCTAATGTGAATGCCACTAGCCACATGTGAAAACTGGGCACAGGAAATAACACTAGTGCAACTGAGGAACTCATTTTCTTTTCTTCCTTTTTCCTTTTTCTTTTTTGAGACAGGGTCTTGCTCTGGTGCCCAGGCAGGAGCACAGTAGTGTGATCTCAGCTCACTGCAGCCTCAACCTCCTGGGCTCAAGCAATCCTCCCACCTCAGCCTTCCAAATAGCTGGGACCACAGGTACCTGCCACCTCATCCAGCTAATTTTTGTATTTTTCAGAAACAGAGTTTGGCATGTTGCCCAGGCTGGTCTCAAACTCCTGGGCTCAACCAATCAGCCTGCCTAGGCTTTCCAAAGTGCTGGGATTACAGACATGAGCAACTGTGCCCAGCCTGGAACTCACTTTCATTCCAATCAATTCACTATTAAAACCATAATAAAATAAAATTTAAAACTATTGCTAAAATTATTAAAAGTCATTTACTGAATTTAAAATGAAAAACTGATACTGAATTTGGTTACTATAAAACTTTAAAGTATGTCTGGAACAACTTGGGTATGTGACTCTACTTTTCCAAAGGTTTTATGAAATGAAGTACAGATCAGGTATCTTCATTGAAAATTAAGGGTCTAGATGGACGTGTGTATAAAACTTGTATCAGATTTCAAAGACTTAGTATGAAAAAATAACTATTTCATTGATAATTGTTTATACTGGCTACATGTTACAATGTTAATATTTTGGATATAGTCAGTTAAATATAATATATTATTAAAATTAACTGCAATGGGCCAGGCACAGTGGCTCATGTCTGTAATCCCACTGCTCTGAGGCTGAGGCAGGAGGATCACCTGAGCCTAAGAGTTCGAGAGCAACCTTAGGCAACCTTCTTAGCAACCAAGAGTTCGAGGGCAATGTAGTGAGACCCCATCTCTGAAAATATTAAACAATTAGCTGAGTATGGTGGTGTGTGCCTGTACTCTTAGCTACTTGGGAGGCTGAGATGGACTGCTTGAGCCTGGCAGGCAGAGGTTTCAGTGGGCCAAGATCATGCCACTGCAGTCCCGCCTGGGTAGCAGAGTGAGACCCTGTCTCAAAAACAAAGCAAAACAAACAAACAAAAAACATTACTGATAAATTTGTTGCTTTTTACCCTTTTCAATGTAGCTGCTGGAAAATCTAAAATGATGTGCCTGCCTCACATTATCTTTCTGCAGGGCAGTATATTATTGTATTGTTCCATTTTCCTCATAGCATGTACCACTTTCTGAAAACAGCTTGTTTGTGGGGGTGTCTATGTGGTTAGTACCTCCCCTCTCCCTACACACACACAATGACCTGAGCTGGAAAGCAGAGACTTTGTTTTGCTCCCCGCTCTACTCCCAAGGCTGAGAACCTACCTAGAACAGAGCAGGTGCTCAATAAACACTCGTTGCCTAACTCAACCAAATCCTCGGTGTGCTGAAACCCCGTCCTAGACAGTTCTGCTGCAGCCATTCCCTGGTCCTCCACACTTGTCTTTGGAGAGGACAGAAATGGGGACATACTTATCATTCCCCTTATTGCGGAAAGCTTGACATCTTGAAAAAATGATACAATGAATGCCTCATTACTCTTTACCAAATGTTAATATTTTTCATACACTTTTTTAAAAAAAGCAATTGTCTGAAAGTTGCAGACATGATGACAGTTTATCCCTAAATGTTCCAGTGCATGCCTCCAAAGAATGCCATCATCATACCCTGGTGCCAACAGCAGAAACGTACCCAAAAGCTTTCTGTGACTTTTTATTGAAAAGAAGTACAGCAGGATACAGCCTGAAAAATGAAAATAATAGACGTTCCCTCTACAGATGTTCGTTTTGTCCCCCTGGGGGTGGAGGTAGAAGAAGATAAATAAATCCAAGGCCATCATGCTTCAGTTCAGAGTTAGATAACGGATATGTTTTGATATGAGATGTGAATCCTAAGATGGCCTTGTCCTATTTAAGAGAAGCTAGGCAGAAGAATGCTTAGGTTATTACGCTTCTCTCTTTGTAGGATATAGTAGTAGTAAGAATAGAAATACTAAAATGAATTATTAACAAGATGAATAAATGTTGAGTGCTACATGTGCTAAGCAACACTGAAGATTATCATTTTAATTCTCACATCTGGTGGCAAGTCTGGTTCTAATGCCATTTTCCAGATGAAGAGACAGGGGCACAGAGAGGAAGGAATTGCTTACCCAAGGTCATAAGGTAGACCAGTGGCAGAGCCAGGGTTCAAACCTGGATATTTGCCCCGCATGCCTGGCTCTTAACCATACAGTGTGCCACCCTCCATCTGCCCATGTCAGAGGTAACAAGCTGAGCAAAGACCAGCAGGGCAGGCTTGAGGCTGGTCTCCCAAGAGTCCTGTGTGCAGGGTCAGCCCCAGGCTGGTGTCTAAGGAGCTGGGTGGGAGAGAGTTCCCTACACAGGTATAAAACTCTTCTTATTAAGAATACCTTCAACTTCCCTGTATGTGTGGTGCAGGGAGCCCACAATTTATGCCTTACGTTGAATCCCTGCTTTCCCTCTGGGAGTCTGCTATTTTGGTATCTGCCAAGCAAAGGATGCTGATGTGAGCAGCTCACAATACCAAATGTGGACACTGAGTCTCTAATGGCCACGCTGTGTAGATAGTACCTTGTATGTGTTGTTCTAATTCATTACTAAGGGAATTAGTATGCCACTCAGGACTGCGCTGAGAGAGGACTCCTGGGAGCCTGGCCCTGACTTCCCCAGGCTCTGCTCCATGCACCCTTCCCTTTGCTGACAATGCTCTGCATTCTTTGGCTCTAATAAATCAATTGTTGTGAGCATGACTACCGGCTGGGTCCTGGGAGGCCCTCGAGAATGCTTAAACCTGGGAGGTGGCCTTGCGGACTCCGAAACATAAGCTAGTAAGAGGTAACCACTCCTCTATCACACCCCTCAGCTGTATCAGCCTTACAGAGAGGTTCTAATGAACAGTTGTTCTGCTCCAGATGGAGGTGAGGTGGGCACATGATCAATGTCCTGGCCCCAATGGGAGGCAGCTGGAAGTATGGCTTCCCAGCCTCTCAGGATGGTGCCCTGAGCCACACCCAACTCTAGTGCTCTTGTTTAGAGGGACCCCTGGTTACCAGGTCTCTGGTTTAATAAAACGAGAGTGACTCTATCTTAAAGTGAATAGGTAGGCACTCACAAGGCCCCTGCTTAAGGTTAATGCTTATAGTCTGAAAATAGCCACATCCCAAGCTGACCAACTATTATGACTACAGAAAATCTATGGACACACAGACCATCTCCCACCAAGCCTGCAGAATGTCCAGATGTCCTGAGACTGCAGCCTACTTTGAGATAACGTCAATGACCAGGCTTAGGATGAAACATGAATGGTCATTGATAGCACAAATAGCCCTATCTTTAGTAAGCACATCTGCACATTCCTGGTTTAATTATAGCTCCTTACAGTTTCCAATTCCTTCTCCTGCTTTCTGAGAACACCCTACTCTGTAACAGAGTAGTTTCCTACAAACTTGCTTCTTTCACTGTGCTATGTGGCTCACCTTGAATTTCCTTCCTGCGCAATATCCAAGAACCCTCTTTTCCAGCAACACTCACTGGGCAAGAAGGTCCAGGGGCCATGGTCCAGGAGGGGCCTCTAATTAGCAGAGTGTGCTATGCCAGCTACATCGTTCTAAGGGGATACCTGACTTCCATCTGCCTGGGAATGGGGTGGGGGGGAATAAGGGTGCTGGGGCATTAGTGACTGTGGTAGACCAGAATTACAGCCCCCCAAAGATATGAACATCCTAATTTTCAGAATCCATGAATATGGCACCTTACATAGCAAAAGGAACTTTGCAGATCTGACTTTGCAGATCTGAGTTAAGGATCTTGGAGGCAGCGAGGGAAGATTATCCTGAAAGTGGAAAAAACACAAACCGTTTTTCCTCTGCTCTCATACCACAACAATCAATACAGAACACTTCCATGACCACATGTGTGAGTCTTCCTCACACACCAAGCAAGCAATCATTTCTGCAGTGGACACTAGTTGGGTGTCCACCAACTCAATTGTGACACTATGTTCCTGGGGATAGAATTAGAGCCCAGAGCTTGAGGGCTCAGCCCCCAAGACTGCCGCACCTTCAGACACCAGTTGCAAGTCCGGACTTCAGGAACTTCTGACTGACTGGCTTTAAGTTGGGTTTCTCATAACTTCCTTTTTGTGTTCAATTATTAATAATTTGCTAAAGCAGCTCATGGAACTCAGGCAAAAAAAAAAAAAAAAGCTCACAGAACTCAGGAACTCAAAAAAAAGTAAACTTACACTTACTGGCTGATTATGAAGGATATTCCGAAGAATAGAGGAAGAAATGTGTAGAAATACAAGGAACGTGAGAGGTGGTGTGCAGCTTCCATGCCTTTCTTGGGAACCCTCCAGGAACCCCTACCTGTTCAGCTAACCAGAAGCTCTTCAAACCCCGTCCTTCTGAGTTTTATGGTGGCTTCATTACATAGGCAAGATTGATTAAACTACTGGCCCTTGGTGATCAACTTAACCTTTAGTCTTTCTTCCCTCCCCAGAGGTTGGAGGGTAGAGTTGGATGTCCCAACTGTCTAATTCTGCCTTGGTCTTTCTGGTTATTAACCCCATCCGGAAGCTACCCAGGGGCTGCCAGCCACCAGCCATCTCATTAGCATACAAAAGACATGTAAAAGAAAAGGGTGTGGTGGCTCACACCTGTAATCCCAGCACTTTGGGAGGCTGAAGCAGGAAGATCACTTCAGGTCAGTAGTTCCAGACCAGGCTGGTCAAAATGGGGAAACACCATCTCCACTAAAAATATAAACATTAGCACATGCCTATAATCCCAGCTACGCAGGAGGCTGAGGTAGGAGAATCGCTTGAACCTGGGAGGCAGAGATTGCAGTGAGCCACGATCACACCACTGCACTCCAGCCTGGGTGACAGAGCAAGACTCCATCTCAAAAACAACAACAAAATCTACAGACCCCAAAATCACTAAGCCAAAGGGAAGTCAAGCTGGGAACTGCTTCAGGCAAACATGCCTCCCATTACTAAACACATACCTCCCTCATAATTTGCTCACAATGAAATTCTTTTTGGACAAAGGACACACAGAATTAATGAGATAAATGCATATCTGATTGCTTCCTCTGCCCTATTTCACCAAACCAGACTAAGGCATAAGTGGCTACTCCTCTATCCTCCTCTCATGTGTAAACTGCGTATTCAGTGAAAGGCTAATCAGACTCAAATGAATGCAACTGTTTGTCTCTTATCTACCTACAACCTGGAAGCCCCTTCCATCGCTTCAAGTTGTCCCACCTTTCCAGACCAAACCAATGTACATATATTGGCTGATGTCTCATGTTTCCCAAAAACACATAAAGCCTAGCTGTGCCCCAACTACCTTGGGCACATGTCAGGACCTCCTGAGGCTGTGTCATGGGTCTGTCCTTAGCCTTGGCAAAATAAACTTTCTAAATTGACTGAGACTTGTCTCTGTTATTTTGAGTTCACAGACATCACTGAAAATTCTAAGATTTCAAGAGTTGTATGCCAGGAAACAGGTCAAAGGCTATTTCTCAATAGCATAATCTTAGATTGCTCAAGTGGGTTCAACATAAATATAAGGGTCCTCTTTATAAAAGGGCAGCAGAAGGATCAGAGTCAGAGAGAAAAAGAAATTGCAAGATGGAAGCTATGCTGCTGGCCTTGCAGATGAAGGAACACCTGCCAAGGCAGCTTCATAGCTTTGCCTTTCAGAACTGTAAGAGAATAAATGAGTATACTTTGAAGCCATTAAGTTTGTGGCAATTTGTCACAGCAGCAAGAGAAAATGAACAGACTGACCCTTCCACCATGTCCTTCCAGTCCTCATGCCCAATATATGGGTTTCTTTTGCTCTGTCAGTGACCTGGTGCTGAAAACATCTGTAATTCAGGGGAATTACAGGGCTAGGGTGAGATGATGAGGTCGGCTGGTGATTGCTGAAGCCGGCCTGTGAGGCCACTCCTTGCAGCCCTGCCTGCCTCCCTCTTGCAGGTGCACGCGCACTTGCGCACACACACGTGCATGCGCATCCAGACCTCCCTCATGCTGAGGAAACTCAGGAGCCTACCTTGTTTTACCCAGGGTCAAAGGGAAGGGCGAGGCTGCTCCTTACAGTTTCCCATTCCTTTTCCTGATAAATACACGATTCTGGGGTCAAACCCCCTGAGAGCGACAAGTGTATCAGCTGTGTTACCCTGGGCAAGCCACTGAACGTCCCTGTGCCACAGTTTCCTCACCTCTCAATCAGGGACAATATAAAACCTATTTCTGGAAGGAGTTGTAAGCATGAAGAGTCAAATTCAGGTCCTACACCCCCACCCCCATGCCAGGGCCTCCCTGCTAGTTCCTCAACGGACTGCCACAGCCCCACCTCACTTCCTTCTGTCTGCTCAAACCTCACCTTCTCAGCAAACCTCACTAACCATTCTATTTAGTAATGCAAGCTGCCCCCACCCCACCTACCCTTCACAGCTGGTTTAGGTATTTCTTTTTTCAGCAGCTCTTATCATGGTGTAATACCATACAGAATTTGTTTACTTATTATGTCTAGTGCTAACTGTCAGCCACCCCTGAGGACAGGAGTCTCTGTATTCCAAGTGCCTTAGACCAGCATCAAGCACACAGAAAGGGCTTAAGTGTCTGCTAACTGAATGACTGAATGGCTCTGTAATAAATATTAACTTTCTTTACCAACACTTTTTCAAGGAGACTTCCCTCACCCACTAAACTGGGATGAGGGTGTCTTTCACATGTATCAGGTATGACTTCTTCACAGGGGAAACACATTCTATTATGAGCACATTTGCCTTTTGGCTTCACCTCTTGTCCTCCACCAGACAATGAGCTGACCAATGTTCTCAAGTGTGCAGCTGAGTGACCTTGGGTAAGTTACTGAACCTTGCTGGTTCCTCCTTTACCTTTCCTTCCTTTACCTTCACAAAAGGAGGACAGAGGGCTGCTGGAGGATGAGGTGAGATCATATGAGTCACTGCTCCATTAAGGTAAACTGTATTTATCATCATTGCTGTTAAGGTTACAAGTGCCAGGGGGGGTCAGTTCTGCGGGCTGTGAGTTTGGGAAAAGGTCACATTTACCGTCCTTTGCCCCCGTGCTCAGGTGTGTGTGTTGAATGTGCTCAGTGCCTGGGCAGCAACATCACCTCCTCAGTTAAGAATGATGAGAATGAAAGCTGTGCTGGATCCTTTATACACATTACACCATCTCCTTTAGCTTTTAATGGCAAGCCAACCAGCCGGCGTTCCTATTTTGCATCACGGGGATGAGAGAAGGTCGATAACCTGCCTGTTGTCACAGAGCTTTAACTGATGGAGCTTGGATTTGAGGCCCTATCCACAAGCTGCACACTCTGCACTCCTCATACAGGGCAGGAGTCCACTACCCACCCTGGCAGGGTACGGGAGGTGTCAGTGTGGTGAAATCCTTCCTGAAAACATCCCCATAAATACGTTTCCATCATAGTAGAGTGGCCATAGGAGTTAGGGAAAATTTGAGCACATCATGTTAAGACTGAGGAGTGAGGGCTCGGTGACAAACTGAGCAGACTGGCCTTTGGTTCTGACTTTTCTGAGTGAGGCTTCCTTCATACAGAGATGGGAACCAAGGGGTCTGCCCTGAATCCTGGACACCTGAATTCTGGGCTTTGTTGGACCTTAGGACAATGGTGTGCTGGGAATGTTTAACAAGCAGCTTGCGGCAGGGGTGACTTACAGTGTTTACTAACTTCCATGGAGTAAATACCCTGATACGGTTTGTATCTGTGTCCCCATCCACATCTAATTTTCAATTGTCATCCCCAATGTTGGAGGTGGGATCTGGTGGGAGGTCACTGGATCATGGGGGTGGATTCTTCATGAATGGTTGAGTACCATCGCTTTAGTACTGTTCTCATGATAGAGCTCTCACGAGATCTGGTTGTTTAAAAGTGTGTAGCCCCACCCTCCTTCCTCTTTCTCCTGCTCTGGCCATGTAAGGCACCTTCTCCCACTTTGCCTTCTGCCATGAGTAAAGGTTTCCTGAGGCCTCCCTGGAAGCCGCTATGCATCCTGTACAGCTTGCAGAACCGTGAGGCAATTAAACCTCTTTTCTTTATAAATTATCGGTCTCAGGTATTTCTTTATAGCAGTGTGAGAATGGACTAATACATACTCCCACCACAGCAAGTTGTAAGCTATTGAACTGATGTCACTTGGCATGGGGCTGAGAAGAGATGTGCACAATGGCCTGGGTGCGTCAGCTCCAGCACACCACTGCTGCAGGGCCTTTGAGAACAAAGCACTATTCTTTGCCTTGGAATTCTCAAACTTTGGCCAATATCCCTGAAGAGGAGAGGAGGACTAATGCCTATTTCTGTGGTTTGACATCTATCCCATAGCAGCTGCCCATAACAGAAAACTCTTTTGATTTCTTGTTTTGAAACATGTTCATTTTTGCATACTACTTAATAATAAATCTGGGTTTGTGTTAATGTAAAAATCATGTTTTAAATGACTTACCAGATAAGCAGATCACTTGGCTTTCCCCTTCCAATTACTTAAGTAAAATGAATTGTTCCAGGAGTTGTAAAGCTTTCATGCTGCAGTTTTCACATTGTTCAAGGGTCAACCATATAGCAAGCATCCAGGAAACCAATGAAGACTGAGACCCACTAAAAAGGCTGAGGTTACAATTCTTATCCAGTGCTGGAGGAGAGAAATTGGTATAACCTCAATGGAGGGCAATTTGGCAATGTCTTTAAGACTAAAGATACGAATTCTTTATCCCTGTTGTATACTCTTTAATCCAGAAACCTTATTTCCTGTACATGTCTTCAGACATATTTGCATATGCGCAAAATGAGAGACACATAGGGGTATTCACTGTGGCAGAGTTTATAGAAAGAGGCAGTACATTCCCTTGGGTAAGGGAGTGGGCCTGCAGCAAGCTGTCTTGGTTTAATATTTAACTCCGCCATCCACTATCTGTTTGGACTTAGATACTCTAGGTGTCTTCTCCAGGCCTGAGCTTCCTCATCTGTAAGATGAGACAAGACACAGTAATGATTGTACAGCGTTGTGGTGAAGATTAAATGAGTCAAAATATATAACACATTTAAGGTATTGCCAGGAAGCAGGGCCAATGCTAAGAATATTATTATTATTTTACTATGACTACCACTATCAGGAGATTGGAAACAACCTAACAGCCCATCAATAGGAAAATGGCTCAGTGATTATTACATGCATATAATCAGATGCCACATATTAAAAGGAACAAAGTAGCACCATATTAGTGGTTCCTAATTGGGAATAATTTTGACCCCAAGGGGAAAATTGCAATGTCTGGGGCTACTTTTGGTTGTCACATCTGAGAGGTGGGGTGTCCCTGGCATCTAGTGAGTGGAGGCCAGGGATGCTGCTCACCATCCTGCAATGCACAGGACAGCCCTCCAGAGCAGAGAATGACCTGGCTCAAAACATCAATTGCACCAAGGCTGAAAACCTCCAAGATAAAATGGTATAAGGGGGAAAATACAGAAAAACCATTTAGAAAAAAGCAAAATATAGTCTACAAATACATGACTTTGAAAAGCCTCTGGAAGCATAAACAAAAAGTTCATAGCAGTGACTGTCCCTAAAGAAAGGAACCAGGTTGCATGCGTGGGAAATCCAAAACCTGCTTTCTTCTCTCTATGCTTTGGCATTTTGTGTCATGAACATATAATTACATCTTCAAAACAACAAATGAAATAAAATAAGGCTGAATTGCACATACCAAATCAAGGCAGGGCTATAAACTTGGCTCATCTTCTGAGTCCCTGATGATGGATGGGAAAGGGCTTGGAAAGGCACAAAGCTATGTCTTCCTGAGGTAAGGATGGCTGGAACCTGGATGGAAAAATGCTTCAAAGAGTTACTGGAGAGTGGTTGTGCCCTCCTTGGAGGCAAATAACGGAGGGGCTTTCCCCTCCTGCCCTGACACCCCTCTGAGCCTGGGGCGCTGTGCTGGGTACTGAATTGAGGGAAGGTCCTGATATACTGAAAAGCAGCCATTAAAGGCACTGCCACAGCCTCATTGTCTCCTTTGGGCCAGTCAGCTTTTGCTGTACCAGCCGTCAAACATTCAAAGATCACCTCTGGTCTGAACCTGCCAGTCCCAGAGACCAGGGACATATGTAGGCAATATCTCCAAAGACCTCAGCATAGCTGTTACAGGAAGAACACAGGCTATGCACACACATGTCTAGACCGCCAGTTCTCCACTTTGCCTGGCAACAGATTAGATTTCCTCATTAAAGGATAGGGATAGGAACACCCCTACTGTGAGGACTGTTTTTGACAAGATATCCAAGCACAGGTGACTCGAATCCTCCCCCTTACTCCTCCAAATCAATTTGTCTCATTCCCAAAGGCCCCAAAGGAGCCTGGGCTGTAGGCACTGAGCTGTAGCTCTCAACCCTGTGTGTACATTACTCTCTTGGGAGCTTTCTAATAAATAGTGATGGCTGATGGCAGTACACTATGCCAGACCAATTAAATCAGAATCTCTGGGGATTGAGGCTGAGCCACTTGTTTGTTTTTTAAATAAAGCATTCCAGGTTGAGAGTAACATGAAGCCACAGTTTAGAATAATGCCTGAGTCTGAGTCTCAACCACAGGGCTAGAGATCTGACCTGTTTCTGTTCAAGTCCAGACCTCAAGGAAAAGTCTTTGGTAAGATTAAAGTCAAACTCTTAGATTCGCTAATCCAGGGATTCCCAAGGGTCACTGCTGGTGGCCATTCCTGGCTCTGGAGTTGACCAAGATGCCCATGGGAAACCTGGATATTGACTCTGAAAAGAGCACCTGCCAACACCCTGTAATCCTTTTACCCTGCTTTACTTTTCAAAATACCTAACAGCACCTATTATAGATGTTATTGTTGCCTCTCCTACTAAATGCAATCTCCAGCTGAGTAAGAACCTTGCCTGTTTTGCTGAGAGACTAGCGCAGTGCCCAATCCATGGTAGGCACTCAATGGCTGAACGAATAAATGCATTACGGAGCTTACCTGGGCAGCAGGCCACGGACACCTTTCTTCTCATCTCAGAATGCTATCCCTTTATCATCTCTTCCCTCCCTGCCTTCCCAGGCTCCCTTGCTCTTCTCCCTGTCATCATGCCTCAGGTCTGTCCATGGGGCACCTGCAACACAGTCCCCTCAACCAGAGTGATTTTGCCTCTGCAGGGGATACCTGACAGTGTCTGGAGACATTTTTTTTTGCTTGTCACAACCCAGAGGGAGGTGCGGTGTCCTACTGGCATGGTAAATAGAGCCCAGGGTTGCTGTACAACATCCTATAATACACAGAATAGCACCCCCTCCCACCACCCAACAAAAAAACTATCTGGCCCCAAATGTCAGAGTGCCAACGCTGAGAAACACTGGTCTGGACAGAAACATTTCCAGACCCCTGTGTTATATGGAAACATCCCTTAGGCCCTGACACTTCAAAGTTCTGTTCTTAACCCCATGTACTCAAAAAGGACATCTCCATCAGGAAGATCCTTTGGTCCTCACCCCATCTCCTCCATCCTAATGCTGCCCTCCCAGGACCCTGACTACACAATTCCGAAAGTAAGCACTGGTCTAGACGTCCAAGTTATTTTATATCTGGACCTGAAACCTTTACTCTGGGATTCATCCTTTTGCTTTTCTACATGGATTTTATTCTCCAGGTGTGGGATTATTATGCTAATAATAAAACGATGGCCATTTATGTGGCACATCCTTGTGCCATGTTCTACTTAAGCTCACCATAAACCTGAGGTTGGTTCTGTTATTACTACTGTTTTACAGGTGAATCTGAGGGGTGGTGAATTTAAGTAACCTCTCCCAGTCAGTCACACAGCTAGCCAGTGACGAAACCAGAAGTCAGCACCACAGAGTGGGGCGCCAGTCTATGCTCTTAATTTTCCAAGCTATCCTTGTAGGAAGGGGACGCAACCATTGGCAGCTTCAGAGGAGGGCTCTGTCCTCCATTCAAATGCAAACATGCAGAAAACAGATGACGCAGGTGCTTGGCAGGGGCAGCGCACCACTGCTCAGCTGGAGATGGTCAGATGCCCTGGTATGAGGACAAAGACCACCCAGTCCCAAGTTCAGAGATGCAAACTCCTTCCAGGATTCATCACTACCTCTGCCTCTGGATGGGGTCAGAGAAAAATGACCACCAGCACTATAACCAACACCTAAACTCGGTGATTAGTATGTGACAAGCTCTGGGCAGGGTGTTTCAGCTATGTCATCCTGTTTAATCTTCCCAATAACACCCAGGCAAGTGCTATTATCAAGTAGGAAAGTCATGCACAATTACAGAGTCACAGATTTCCAGAGCAGCCTATCACACCTTACAGCTGCTCAGAATTCTCCCCAGGAGGACCTTCATTTCCATGGTTACAGTAAGACATACACCAGAATGGAACAATCACACAGTCACACACTCACAACCGCAAAGCCACTGAGGCTAAGTGGCAGACAGACGCCCAGGCAAATCACACACAGTAACCCCAGGACACAATAAACGGCTAGGTCAGCCTGACTGACTGACACACACACACACTCTCTCCAGCAACAGAAATTTTCACACCCAGCGTTACACACCCACGCCTGGCTTCCCACAGGCTCCATTGTTTCCTTCGCGTGGGTCACGCAGCGATACACACCCGCACTCCCGACACAGACCCCTCACACACAGGCACACACGGCTCGCCTCACACGTGGCGCCCACCTCACCCTCGGGTGCACAAGCCCCGAGGGCCACAGCGGCGCAAGGGCGCAAACCCCACGCAGTCGCGGGCCCAGAACCCACGCAGGGGCGAGCCCACGACCCACGCAAGCACCCGCGCAGACGCCCACGCCATCGCGGACGCGCAAACCCACGTGCGCCCGGGCAGGGACGTCCACGCAGTAGCCCAAGCTCTCAAAGAGACACACCCACATTCTCGCCAGCCCCCTCACCTCGGTCCTCTCGGGCTCCGACCCCAGCGGCGACCACCGTGAGAGCCGCGCAGGGACCCCGCGCCTGCGCACTCCCCTCGGGGACCCCGGGACTGCGCTCCTCACCCCGCTCCACACACGCACCACGCAGGTGGGCGCGTGGCCCCGCCCCCAAACAAGGCCACGCGGCGCGCGCTCTCCCGCCGCTTGGGGACAGTTCCACCAGACCAGGCCTGAGGCCCCGCCTCCTCAGCGCCACGCGCACAGGCGCGCTCGCGCATTCGGTGCAGTCCTTGGGGCGTGCGCGCGAGGCCCTGCGCATGCGCACACCCCCGAGGCTGGCACGCGCACCGGGCTCCTTGGCAACTGACGCCCGACCCTCTTTTAACCTTTCAGGAGATCACGTGTGGACACCGAGGCCCTACCTCCCTAATTCGCCCCCTTCCCCGCTCCCACACCTACCTGTTCCCATGTTAGGGGTTATTGCCCCCCGCCCGCCACCGCCTTTCGCCCCCACATTTACGAGGTTTGGAGCCGGCCCCACCCGCGCGTGCGCACTTCGCAGTCATCCTGCAACATCTAGAAGCCTCCGGGGTGCGAGGAGGCTGTGGAAGGTCCTACCCAGAACGTGAGGTGAAGAGGGCTTGGGCTGCGCTGGTTTTGATCTGACCGGGTCTGAGATGAACTGACCCGGGAGAGTAGCGTAGGGATGTTTCTTTTGGCCAAGAGTGGGGACTCACCTGCACCTTCTGCGGAGAGGCCCACAGTCCTTTGCGTGGCGCCCAGACTTCATTTCCCAAAGGCCCCTGCGTGGCCTGTGGCGGCTGGTCAGTGCGCTGCTGCGCCTGCGCAGCCGGCGGGCTGGCTGTGAGACTGTGGCTGAGACCCGGGCGTGTGAGAAGGGGGTGGGAGGGAAGAAGGGGAGAGTAGGGGAGAAATGGCCAGGAGGGGAGAAGGGGCGAGGAGTGGGCGGGCGGCTGAAGGTACGGGGGTGTCCGCGGTGGAGTTGTGTGAAGTGACCGTTGCGTGATTTTGAGTCTGTGACAGAAGGTGTGAAGTGTGGCCTCGTCCGTGTCATCTGGGCGTGCGGCTGCCGGGTTTTGATCGCGCGGTTGTGTAGGTTGTGTAGGTGAGACCCACACCGTGATACCCTGAATAAGTGTTAGGACGAACCGTTGTGTTTCCTTCTACGTGTGTCACTCAACCGGTTTCTGTGGTTTCATGCGTGGTGGTGGACGCTGATTGTGAATGTGTGTGCTCGTGGACATTTGTTTAGCTTCTCCATCCGCTTTTGCTGAAGGGCAGAATTGAGTAGGTGGAACAGGTGCTATGTGGCCGCAGAAAGCCGGAAATATTTACTGTTGACTCTAGAGCCCAGTTTTTGCGGTGTGTACATCTCTGTGGGGAACCACTGACTTCGAATATGTGTAATTGTGTATATTTATGTATATTCTATGGCTGCTTTTGCACAATGGTAGGGTTCAGTACTTGTAGCCCATAAAGCTTAAAATACTCTTTCGAGCCCAGTTTTTGTGCTTGAGTATTGTGTGTGGGGGGGAAGCCAGTGTTTTTGACTGTGTGTGTGGGTACCCCCCTGTGTGTTGAGACCCAGTTTTTGTGATTATATAGGTGGGTATATGTGTAAGGAGAACCCAGGGCTTGTGATTTCTCCCAGGTGACTCTGAACAAGTTTTGGGGACTAGGTAGTAGGGAGAGTGTGTGAGAGAGTAGTTTTGGTTTCCCATTTTTGTGACTAGGTAGTGGTAATAATGAAAATAAAAGCTAACAGATACCACTGTTAGGACTTTTACCATCACCTCTGTGACTGGCAGCTAGCACTTACTGATTGTTGTCCCTGGTCAAAAGTGAATTTTTCCATTTAAGGTTTTCTTTAATCCTTTAGGCCGTCCTCTGAGTTGTTCCTTGGAGCAAGTTTCTTTCTAGACTGGAGATTGTCCTGAATACCTGGTAATACTAGAATAAGGGGTGTGGCCAAGAGATCCAAGAAACTTAGGAGAAATCTGTCACTTGGCAGCTTTTTGTTTGCTTTAAACCACCTCCCAAGAATGTGTGTCTTTCTGCTGTTTTAGGGGCGCTTTGGTTCGAGAATCTGGGAAGCCCTGGGCTGAGGGAAAAGCTTTATGCCTCAAGACTGCATGTCCTAGTTCAGAGAAACTAGAGTGCGAGTGTCAGATGTCTTGGATCCTGATCAGGCTCTGTTGTGCCTATTCTCTGAATGAAGCAACCATCTCCCAAGACACCCATGAGCTTTCTAAGATAGAACATTTGTCCCAGAGTCCAGGTCCAGAATCCAGTCCTGGCATTATATTTGGTCAGACCTACCCTCACTCTTACCCCATGGCTCCCCACCACTCCTCTCTGCCCCAGGTACCCATGGGAATTATAGGTACAAATTAAATACCTGACTCTATAATAGCTCCACAGTATCTGGAATCCTATTATGACAACGTGTTTGTGTTTGAAAAATGAGGGAAAGGAGGAGAGTAGGGGAAGAAAGGGTTTCTGAGCTGATCTTGAGAACTACAGGACAGATTTGGCTTTTATAGTTCCTTTCTTTCTCCCCAACTTTGCCTTCCCAGGACAATTTCTCTTCCAAAAGAGGAATCAGGAGGAAAAAATGAGCAATCAGCTCACTGCAGCGCTACTCCTGCCTCAGCCTCCCAATTAGCATGGGACTGCACTTGGCTAATTTTTTGTAGAGGCAAAGTGTCATTATGTTGCCTAGGCTGGTCTCAAACTCCTAGCCTCAAGCAATCCTTCCACCTTTGCCTCCCAAAGTGTTGGTGTTACAGGCATAAGCCATGGCACCTTGACAAAAATGGCTTTTAAACTTAAAGTCATGTCCCAAGTAAGTTGGCATTTTCTTCTGTGATTTTTCAGGCCTTTCCTTCAGCACCTTGCTGCCTCATAGAGACCCTGTTAGGGTCTTAGTCCTTATTTCTCCCTTTCTGGCAAATGAAAGACCAAAAGGGATGGCTAAAGTAGCCGAATGCCCTCTTTCAATAATGTTCTCCACTTAACCATCATGTATTTATTCACTATAAGCTTTGTGCCTACAATTCTGTGAATAACTCTGGTGGCTCAGAAGTGTACTGTCTGTAGGGAAAAAAAGAGCTATCCTTGAGAGGCACATAAGATGATGAGCGATCGATGCCTTGTTATGAGGTACCATGCCCCAGATAGCTTTAGCCTTCTTTGAATACCTTTGAGCAGAAGATGATTTTGTTCTTAAAGGATGAGGTCTGGTCAATGGGGACAGGAAATTTGCCGTGAGGAATTAAGATTCCCTGGGAGTAATAAGGTCCTATTTCAAGATGGTATTGTGGCCACATCTGTGGAATGCTGGAGTCTTTTCCTATTTACAGATAACAAAAAAAAAATGCATATTGTTAGGCAGGATAGAATCAATTTGCGGAAAAAATAATGAAAGTTTTAGGAAAAAAGTGGTATTTAGGAGGGTTGAAGCCATTAGATGAAGAAAATAGGCTCTTTTAAATAGAATATATCTGCATTGTGGTTTTTTTAAAAAGCTTTCAGAAGAAAATAAACGGTAAGAAGTACTGCCACCTTGATCCAATTCTCTCCCTAAAGCTAATTAACTTTTCATTGTGAAATCATTGTAAACTCACAGGAAGTTGCAAAAATAGTACCTTTCACCCAGCTTCTCCCAGTGGTGACATTCTACATGCCAATAGTATAATATCAAACCAAGAGATTGATATTGGTACAGTACTGATACTGTACAGTATTGATATTGGTACTAGACTACAGACCTTATTCAGATTTTACCACTTTTAACATGTACTTTTTCATTTTATTAGGTTTTTGCCGTTATTACACTCATGATACTGAATCAATCCAGGAATAGGATGTGTGTTTCAATTCATTCAGGTCTTTTAAGTCCATTGGTAGGGTTTTCAAAGTTGTCATAAAGGTCTTGTTGAGTATATTACTAGATTTTTTCATCTTTGTTATTGTAAATGGTGTCATTTTACTCTTCCTATTTTCTATATATTTTGTATGGTATATTTATTAGTCTGTTCTCACATTGCTACAAAGAAATACCTGAGACTGGGGAATTTATAAAGGAAAGAGGTATAATTGGCTCATAGTTTTGCAGGCTGTATAGGAAGCATTAGTAGTGGCTTCTGCTTTTGGGGAGACAACAGGAAATTTCTGATGGGGGGAATGCAAAGGGGGAACGAGGAGTCTCACATGGCAGGACCACAAGCAAGAGAAAGGTGTTGGGGAGGTGGTGCTATGTTCTTTTAAATGACTAGATCTCACAAGAACAAACTATCCTGAAGACAGTACCAAGGGGATGGCGCTAAACCATTTGTGAGAAACCAGCCCCTTGATCCAATCACCCTGTCACCAGGCCCTACCTCCAACATTGGTGACTACAATCCAACATGAGATTTGATGAGGACACAGATCCAAATCATATCAGTGTATTTCTCATTTTTTTGGTTCATATAATACTGCTTTATGTAAACATAACATTACTTATTTAACTCTTATTGTCACATAGGTTTTTTTGCCTTAATTTTGGCTATTATAACCAATGCTATCCTGATACATTTTTCAGCTGATTTTCACACTCATTTGTAATTCTTTCCTTAGGGTCCATTTCTATATATTTTTCTTTCCAATTATATTGGAGCATTTTAAACTTAGTTGATCTCCCACTATTTAAAAAATTACACCATTTGGATGGAACACCAGTGGGGATATATTATAATTTGAGTGTAGCCTATAACATTTGCCTACTGTATGATCTAAGTACTGTAGGAAATAATCACTTTAAATTCATATATTCTTTTTTTTTTTTTTTTTTTTTTTTTTTTTTTTGGGGGTTTTTTT